AAAGGCAGAGGATCTATTGGATCAGAAGGCCGTGGATAAGGAGGGAGTGCAAGAAACGCAGCCGGATAGTAGTAATGCAGGGGAGGCTCGTACGAAGGTTCAGTGCTGTAGTGTGTGCGGCAAGCCTGGCCATAATGCGCGCACTTGCCAGGAAGCTGCAGATGCCTCAGATTCAGCTGTTTCTGATGTAATTATAGTTAATTCCTTGTGTTGATGTGGTGTAATTGAGGATAGTATTCGTAGGGTGGTGGAAAGTGGTGCACTCGCTTATATGGTGCACTCGCTTATATGGTGCACTCGCTTATAATGTACGTTATACACAAAGAAATGTGTTAGAGCCGGGTATATATCGGATAGTCACAACCGAGAGGGATTATGTAAGCTGTTTAGTCAATCAAACAGACTCCAGTCTGCATGCTATATGACTCCCTACTCTAATAATGCACCTGAATCTCCTCCTTATAGCACGGCTTGATTCCCTCAACATTACCTTTGCTATCCTCTGCCCGTTATCCCGGGCAGCCGACTATGTTATGCTCCGTGGGTAACTTATCCAGACACTTGAAGCAAACAGGGCGGCCTGCAAGCCCACAAAGCGCAGGTGTCCGGGCAGTCATTAAATGGAAGCAACCTAGTATTCATTCTGTCAGCGCATTGCACTATATGTACATGATCTACTGGCTTAAACACCCTCAACCTTCGTACCTCAGGATCTGCCTCTCGGTACTGTCGCTCCTGACAACAGTCTCGTAGCGGTTTGCACATCAGGAAGATCGATCACTTCCCCGAACGTCATAGCGTATGGTGCAAGCCTTGAACGAGAATGCCTGTCCCTAGTCATCATCTTCCAAAACCGTGACACAGCACGGATAGTACGAGCGGCGCGGGACGCTCTTAGCTAATTGTTAAATTAGATATGAACTAACTAATTAGGAAGTAATTAGGGTAATCACGACATGATTACTATAATCATGGACGAGGCTAATTAAGGCGTAATCAGAGTAATTAAGGTATAATCACAATGATTATTAGCAAAGTCAATTAGGACGTGATTAGGGTGGCTGTACAGTACGTGGGACACGGGATGTGCCCAGCCAATCGCTAAAGGAACCAATAGGAAGTGGAGCGCCTGGGAGCGCCGGGAGCGTGGTGATCCAAGTGATCCTAAGGTGACGAGAGTGATACTCTTGGCACCGTGATCCATGGTGATCCAACGCTGGAAGAAGTGATCCAGGATCACGCTTAGCATAGTGATCCAGGTCATCCACTGGTCTATATATATGGAGGAACTGGCTGGTGTAGATAAACAGTTCCGCAGTATACAATATAAGTCACAACCGTTAGTATCTAGACTGTTAAAATTGAGACAAGCCATTTGTTGTATACTGCTTAGCTGTACCGAACCAGGATTGTTTAGAAGTGCCTTTTAACCAGTATCCCTTTCAGAGGTTCTGGATAGGGGTTCGTCACAGCGAGGGAAGCTCGCCACTCCTAAATAATTCTTAAATAACAAGCTAAACCTATTAGGGAGCTGTGTCCGGTAACTCGCTTAAGATACTGCATTATAAGTGCCATTCTAGGTGCCATCACCACCTGGTCATCCTGTATCTTCCTGCCTATAGGTCCTATGCCATTTGTCTCGGCGCCATTGCCCCGCGGTCAATTATCTCGGGGTCGCTCCTGGCCTTGTGGTTCGCCGCGGTTGCGTGACCAACCGTGCTCACGTGCTTACAACGCTGACATGGCTTGGCAGGTTGTAACACACCTATGAAGAAGGGTCGAGTGTTCTCCTACCACTTGGCGAACCGTCTCCCTGTCCAAGGCCTCATATACCGAAGGCCAACCGGTACAGTTGTGGAACTGTGCATTGAAGTAAGCCCAGCATGCTGCTCTGGTGCGAAGGGTTTCCGAGTAAAGCGTTGTGGACGTGACAGTGAAAAGGCGCAGGGGAACGCCGTACATTTCCTGGGCGATGGCGATGAGTTTGCACGTGCACATCAGCCTGAGATCGATCGGCTTGTTGTTGGCTGTCCTCAGTTTGTTTGCCTCAAAGTCATAGATGTACTCATCGCCATCTTCGTGGCCGGCGCCGAGATACTCCTTGTAGATGTAATTGCGCAACTCGCCGGGTATTTGCAAGAGGTGTGACCGAACCATGATGTGGACGTTGGACGAGAAACGCAGAGAGTATCGGGGCAGTGTAAAGGGACGATGATGACTAGACCGCTGATGTGGCCTGAGGTAATGTAGACTAGATAGGTAATCTGTCGTGGGGAAAAGAGAATTTGGTTTGGGAACAGAAAAAGAAGGCAGTGGTTTTTTTTGCACATGCCGTCCCGCTATGCCTTTCGTGACGGCGGTTGTGGCGCTTCACAGACTTCAGGCAAGCGTGACGGTGGCGCCTATTGATAACCCAGACGGGATCGGAGGGGGGAAGGGCACACAGAGCTCAGTTACTTACGAGTCTCGCAGTTTACGGGACGGTAACGAAGGTGTGGGCAAAGGTAGTGCTAGTGGTAATGATGTGTGAAATAAAAATAAATAAAAAAAGAAAACAAAAAAAGAAAAGACCGTGGCCCACTGCAAGATGACGAAGACGGGAGCAAGGCAGCAACGCGATGTCCACTCCCCACGCCGCTGTGAGCCGGTACCGTCCCCTTCACAGATGACTATGTCGCTAAACCATAGTACACGTTTTCCATCTCAACAACCCGGACACCTGGCCCTGGGTTTGCGTCAGATAGGTACTATACGAGCCCTGCCTGGGAAACAAGCTCAGTGACTCTACGATGACTCCTCCGGCGACAATTTTATCCATGCCTGAAACCACGAGCCGAGACTTTCGAGCAGGGAATGTGATTTGACAATAAATAGGTTCTTACCTGGCCAACCACTCAATATTCTCTGCTCTTCCGCATCCTCCTCTTCCTCGCTCATCCAACAACCCTGGCCTCGAGCGACTGAAGTCTGTTAGGGCTGGTTCAAATGCAAAACAAAAAGAAGTGTACATCCGTCAACAAGACAAGTAAGCTTGCCCTGCCGCTTATCATGACTGTGACTGACTTGATGATATTGCAGCGGAACGATCTGCCACAAGAATGACCCAATGGTTGGCAACAAGACACCAGGAACTTCTGTCCAGATAAATCTCACCAATCATGCCGTGTCGGCGTCAAACGAACAATCGGCCTCCACCTTCGCCCACCGCCTCCCCCGTGAATTAGCAACAAGACACCGGAAACTTCTCTCCAGATGAACCTCACCCATCACACGGCGTCAAACGAATCGCCTCGGGGTCCCGGTCCTCCAGGGGGGGGGGGTCGGTGGCCGTCGAGGACTGAAGGTGGTTAGAACTTTGCAAGACCACTACAGGTAATCAACTTCGGTACCGCAACCTCCGTACAACGAGAAAGGCCATCAGGAGAATAAAGTACCTGAATTTGACAATGAGCCAATATCCCACGTTCTGTCAGTGGGGTTGGGGTTTGTTCAAACAGTCTGTTGCAAAAAGACCATTGTTGAAAAAGCGAGTGGTTAGCCATCCGGTGTCGCTGATTAAGAGGGGGGAACCCAAAAGAAGAGCACAAGAGGGGTGACAGTACCTAACTGGCGATCCTGGACCTGACTGACTGTCAACAAGACAAGCGTTGCCAGCCGCGCTCCGCGAAACCTCAAAACCTCTTGGATAAAAATATATGTTGCAAGCAACAACAAGCGGACGCGCTCAGCACTGCCTGCGCAGCTTCCGGAAGCGATGGGAAGACGCGCTGGGGGTCTCGAAGGTCTTGGGCGCTTGGAGTGATGGATGTCATCGGAGGCGATGGACAGGATGGCAAACTGAGGGTCGGCTGACTCGAAGGTCCTGGGCTCAAGACAACAGGCTTGTTTATTTTCGCGCGAGACAAAACAGCCTACCGAAAACTGGCGCTTCCGGGAGTGTGCCACAGCAAGGCTGCTGCGGGACTCTCTGGTTGGGTGCGCACGGTCATCTGCCCCCGCGACTGCTTGGCCATCACGGCTCTCAACGATGACGAGCTGTTTCCACAGAGTTGGATTCGGTAGACTTGGTGGCGACGGACTGCTGGTACTTTCGGAAAAGCGTCGTTGTTCGACCGCGAGGTCGTCACGGTGGTGAGGATAAGTTGGGGAATATCGAAGGTTGAGGCGAGTTGATGGGTGGTCAAGAGCGAGCCACTGTCATGAGGTTGAGCATCCAGCCCCTGCCATGGGCGATGTTGTGGTGTTGTGGTTGTTTGTGTGTGTTCCCCCAGTTCACTACTCTGGGCGGGGGGGCTGGGATTTGATATGGCCCAAAGGTAGCCCACATCCTCCTGATGGTGTGTATCTTTCTTACATCAAGGCTCTTGTTGTTGTTTGGATAAATAGCTGGGTATATAAATACAGTGATTTGTCTTGTTTTATCTGCGAACGAAAACCGAGATACCTATGATGCGGTTCTTATCCTTCCCACCCCAATCTTTGCATCCATGACCCCCTCACGAACCTCATCTACTCGTTCTTCTGTCAATATAAAATCATATTGCGACACTGACATCGAAGCCATCTATGTTTTGATATTAATTCAAATAAACCCACTCTCCCTCAACATCTTGAGCGTCAACTCCGCCTTCAGCGTCGCCTCGTCTTTATACCCCTTTCCTTCCCCCGTGTCAATAAAATTCTCCCAAAACTTCAACCCCTCTATCCCTTCTTCCCGACAAAGCACCCCCTTTTCCTCCGCCATCTCCAACTCTTCCTCGGCAACACCAATACTCCACCCAAACCTCTCCGCCACATCTCTCGCAGTAACCCCCCTCCCAAACTCATGCCAATCCCACGACACCTCCTTCTCAGGAGGAAACTCATGCAAATCCTTCATCCAAGCCAGTAACGCCTTGATCGTCGACTCGTCCGTCCTATCCTTGCTCTGTACAACCTTCACCCCTGATTTAAACACCCTCAGCCTAACCGGCAACTCCAATTTCTCCCATAGATTCGCTGCTTTCTCGAAGTCTGCGGGACTAACCAGTTCGACTCCGCCTCGGGCTCGGTTGAACATAGCCCATAGATCCACAAGTGAGATTACTCCCCCGGCCTTTCTCAAGACCCCCCTCCTGTCATCCGTCAAAAACTCGGCCAACGTCCTTGCCAACTCACTCAGATACAAAGAGTCGCCCCCATTACTCCCAACAATATCCTTCGTGGTGATCAACCCAAGCTGACTTGCCGACTCGGCCAACAGAGCATTCTCACTCGCGGACGAGCCCCCAGCGCCTCTGACTTGTTTCGCGAAACTTTCCGCCAAAGCTACAATCTCCTTCGCCGATGCCATGAGCGCTTCCAAGTCTTCAAAGGCGTTTCCAATGACGAGCTCGTTATTCTTGCGCATCGCCTGAGTTTGCCGCTCCAGGCCGGCAATACCACCAATCTTGGGCCGTTGTCTCTCCGGTTCTGATGACCCGGCAGTACCAGAACCACCGTTGGTGCCATCGGAGCGAGATGACTTGGGGATGGGGGGCGCGTTCTGGAGAAGCCATTTCCGCTGCGTCATGCAGCCTTTGAGACGTTCATAGAATATCTTCTCACCACCATGGCGGAAAGAAAGCTTGACGTTCTCTGGGCTTTCCAGGCCAACTGGGGCGGGGGCGGTGGAGTTGAGGAAGGGGCCGGGAGATTCCGTGTTGGTTCGGGGGCTCTGAGTGAGACTGGCTGGGATGTCGTGGGAGATGAGTGAGGCGCCGCATATTTCGCAGGATAGGAGAGAGGGATGGTTGGCAAAGGTACATCGTGGGCAGTGGAAGGAGGCATCGGGATCTGAACTTCGGGGGGGTGCTGTGAGGCCTGGAGACTGTGGTGAGGTTAGGTCAGAGATTTGCTTCGGCCTCACGGGTAGCGGCGTTTGGAGAGCCGGACTCGATGGTCCACGGGTTGATGCATTGCTGATTGCGGCTTTCAGAACATGGGTTAGGGTTGGCTTAATGCCGCATGCCAAACACGGAGGCAGAGGTGTATGAGCGTTGGCGGCAGTAGGGTCAAAGTTGGACGGGACAGGGTTTGAGAAGCTGCAGATGGTGCAAACCCAGGTGGCTGCGCTCACGGGCGTAGGCTCAACTGGTGATACCCGGAGGACGCCATCTTGGCGATGGGCTGGCGAGGAATTGCCGCTCCGGGAAGGAATAGAGACATGAGCTGGAGAGCGCTGTTGAAGGGGCGCACGCTTTGTTGCTTTGGGTATCAAGGTGATCTTTGGAGAGGACTTGAAAAAGCCAGCCTGAAGATAGCGATTAGCAAAGAGCTTCAAGCCGCAAATCCAACACGGCACTCACATAGAACTCATAGCGCTCCACATCTTTCAGGTCCAGCGCAACCGAGTACTTTCTTGGCTCTGCCTTGTCGACGTAGCATATCCGATGCGATGTCAAGTAAACCTGGCCATTTTGCTGATTCGGGAGTTTGAACTTGCTAGCGAAGGTCAGTCAGTGGTGGTGATAAGGACGATCCCAAGCAACTCACCCCTCATACAACCCCACATTGTCTTGCACGAAAAGCAGGTCTTCATCGGGCAGGTACGAAGGCCGCAGTGCGGTTGTCAAGTCGATGTGCTTTAAGAACATTCGTCATAGTCATGGGAAGACGGCCCCGGTGCTTTGGGAACAGTTTCAGTGCGTGTGCCGTGGTTTTCCACCATGAGTTTGTTGATGAGAGACAGGATGTCTGTCGTTGTCGTTTGGTGGATCCCGACCATTGACGTAACTGGGAGACGGGTTAAGCACCTATCCCACCCGCCCCGATTGTTGCATGCTGACTCAGCGCCTCCCCAAAAGACTCGACAAAGACTCGTTAGAGCGCTCCAGCCACTCAACGCGACTCGCCGCCCACTTTTCCGCACATTGCAGCCCTCTCCTCTCCGCTCCGCTTCTCCCGAACTGCCCAATCCAACTCAACTCTCTTCGCACACTTCAGTTCGCACCATTCACCGCCATCATCAAGTTGCCATCACCGCTTCGCTGACCAGCACTCCGACCGTATTTCTGCGACCTACTTACCTCTCTGAACAGCTACCTTTGGTTTTTTTTCTCGTCTCCCACAAGAGGCAAAGCGATCACAGCAGTGACAACATGATGCCGACGTGGCCAACCGCATCCCCGCCCCAGGGCGTTCCGCCCTCAACTGCCTACGCAGCAACCTATTCAGGTATGTGGCCGACACCTCTAGACCCTCTATCCTCAAGTGAATCTCTTGCTGACTTTTTCCCCTACAGCTCCTGCTTTCACCCCAGTCCAAGTCCGACAAACCTTCGGCCAGTCCTATTCCGCCCCACAAGCCTCCTATCCCACCACACATCCCTACGGCCCAGCCCAATCCCCTCCACCTGCCCCAGCTAATCACCAGTCGACCGCTGCTTCTCCTCCCACAGCTGATGAACAGCCCAGGAAGAAGGTTCAATGGCCTGATTCCGTCCGCTCCTACGTCCAGCGCTCTTTTTTCCCGGCCAACATGGATCCTACCGTCTCGAAAGAAGAAATGGAGGGCAAGCTCAAGGAAACCATCATGCGCGCCAGCGAGGACAACCTTCTGTATTCCATCGTGTGGGAGACGATGCCGCTGCCCCAACAAATAATCAAGCAGGAGCGTGAACAACGTGCCAAGGCCATGGCCTATCCCGCTCAAGCACAAACGCCCTACTCCAACGCGCCAATGCCCATCTCCAAGAAGAGGAAGTCCGCCGACTTGGAAGATGTCGCCAATCTCAGTATCACCCCACCATGGAGGACAGGCCAAGGCGCCCGCCTCGAGGATCGCGTCACTTTTTCCAAGGATAAACGCCAAGCTACCGAGGAGAGCTCCGATAACACGAGTAAGTTGAACAAGTACGAGAAGCGCCAAAAGCGCTTCAACGGGGGCTACGTATCGACATATCGCTCCCCAAGCCCTCCCCCCGGCGATGGGCCCGTCGTGGGGACGTGCGAAAAGCTTGAGAAGAGCTATCTGCGCTTGACTGCTCCTCCCAAGCCTGAGAACGTGCGTCCGCCTCGGGTGTTGAAGAACACGCTGGAGCTGCTGAAGAAGAAGTGGAAGAAGGATTCGAACTACGCATACATTTGTGATCAGTTCAAGTCCATGCGCCAGGATCTGACTGTGCAACGCGTGAGGGATGATTTTACTGTCGAGGTGTACGAAATACATGCTCGCATTGCTTTGGAAAAGGGGGATCTCGGTGAGTATAATCAGTGCCAGACTCAGCTCAAGGCACTGTACAAGTTGGGCCTCAAAGGCAAGGCCAACGAGTTCAAGGCCTATCGGATTCTTTACTTCATTCACACAGCCAACCGCACAGACTTGAATAGCGTTTTGGCAGATCTAACCCCAGCAGAAAAGAAAGACAAGGCGATCAAGCACGCCTTGGACGTGCGGTCCTCCCTGGCCCTGGGGAACTACCATCGGTTCTTCCAGTTGTACAACGAGACCCCAAACATGGGTGCATACCTCATGGATATGTTTGTCGGCCGGGAGCGTCTTGCTGCCCTGTGCAACATTTGCAAGGCGTAAGCTCATTCTCCTCCTGTCATGGTGAAGATCCAATGCTAACTTGATAACAGATACAAGCCTGACGTGCCATTGCGATTTGTTACCGAGGAACTCTATTTTGAGTCCGACATGGAAGCCGCCCAGTTCATCATTGACAACGGCGGCCAGGATTTGCTCCAAGAAAAGGAGGACGGCACCATTGTCTTCCTCACTGGCAAGGCTGGCCAGACATTCGAAAGCCACAAAGCGAAAGCCTTCGCCCGCGTCGACATCAAGGGCCAAATCTAGTCGCCCCTGGCTGTGCTTCTCTTTTCTATTTTGTTTTCCACATCCACAAGCGCCACCCCTCCCTTCGTTGGAGGCTACCTCCCACGTCTTATCACGTCGTAATTATTCTTTCACCCTCACCCTCCTGAGGCTCGGGGGGTGCCTACCCATACGTCGCCTGTTCGCCGGCCGCCATGAATAGGCCGCTCATCCATCTTTTTTTCTGGAGTTTCCACGAGATCCTTGGAGAGCCTCACGACTCTGACACCATCGACTTTTGTTTTGTCGGCCACGAAAAGTAGTTTTTCTTTTCTTCCTGACTTTAATTCCCAGCTTTCGCCATCCTCTTCATCTTCTACGACTTTATGGCTTCACGAGGGATCTCGCTCACACTTCGAACCGGTCGTGCTCTGCTACTGGCCGTGCCGTGAACCAACTGCGATGATGACGATAGATGAGTGTCAACAAGGGTGGCTCTGCTTCACTGTTCGTGCTCAGTAGTTATCTTAAACATCGCTTGGGGTTTTGGGCTGTGCTTTGTCAGGGCTGGATCTGGTAGAGGAGTTAGCTAGCTTTGAATCAACGGCAGTGCTGTTGAGGAATTTTGGCACAGGGGGGTTTTTGGTTTCGTTATCGGGGGATTTCCGTCACAGTGATACCCATGGAAGAGGAGGAGGTTGGCCCGTTTTGATCTAGCAGTCATCTGGGGGATATTAAAGTTTGACTTGGGCAGGGGTCACCGACCCCATTTGGGCGAGGAGTTTGGAGCTGGAGTTGAATTTGTGTAACCATTCACAGCGAACTAGTCTTGGGGTCCTATCAAGGGATATATCGTTACAATCATGGTTTAATGAAGACGACATTTGTCACGTCTTGTTTTCTGAACTCTGGTGATTTCGGCTTTGCCCAGCTTTTGCCATTTGATGATGATCTTGAAGCTTGAACTGCCCCCTACGCAAGAATACATGAGTAAATTCTCATGAGATTCGCACCACGATGTCGTTCCCGTTAGAGAGGTATGCAGCTGTGACGTTACGGTATTTTGTGCTTGTTCTTTCTAGATAAGTTACGATGGTAAGGTTTAAGGTTGTGGGTTGGTGGAATAGTCCTGGATTTTGAACTGCTCAGCGAATCGGAGGTCATGGGAGAATTTGGGGATTGTTCCTTTTTGCCTGTTGGTGAACGAAGGGGTTTGTTGGCGGTGTGTCTCGCTTGGACGACGCCTGTCCCATGTGGCTGCTGGTAAGGTAGAGGTGATATACTCTAGTGTCCCCGGGCCGTCTTACAACCTTGGTGCGGTGGAGTTGTATTTGGCAAGAACTCCGAGGAAAGATAGGTGGTTTGGTTGTTTGTGATATTGGCATGAGCGTTGAGGGGATAGTTGTGGGGTTTACTACCTGATATGGTCTAGATAGGTATGCTGTCTGATATGGATTCGGGTTATGGAGTCTGAGTTTGGATAGATAATGGGCTGGTTGGTTGGATTTTGAGAGGGAGGGTTTGTTTGTTGGGATGATACTGGAGTTTAAATGGCGGAGTTGTGATGGTCTGAAGTGGATTGCTGTATGTTTCTTGATGGGAACCTTTTGTGGTGTACTTGGTTATATCTACGGGAGACATCAAATCATATGGTGAAGGACAGGGTGGCTGAAGCGAGTAATTATTGAACTGGGGATAGATCTGTTCAGGGCTGGTTGCTATACCAGCTTGCCCTGGTTCTCTTCCTCTTCTTTCGTCAGTTACTGGACTGCGAGACCTGGATTTGGTTCTTTTCGTCGGTGTGGAAAAGGTCTATGGATCAGGGTAATAGATCTGCAGCCTTGTGTCGTCCTTCCATGCCTGGTTGTTGAAGTTTTACGGTCAGCGAATCAAATCGGAGAGAAAAGCTGCACCTGCAATTCCGTGAGGAATGCCATGATATGTGGTTCTTTTCAAGCACAGAAAACCCAAATGGGCTCTTGGAATTATGGACCTAGTACCGTTTTACTCGTGAGAAGGGGGGGATTTGAATGTTGGTCAATTAAAGCAAAGCTAGGTAATTCAGGATTGCCATTAAAATGTCCACAAATCTTCTGTTCGTCTTCTCGTTTAACGCTTTTGTTTTGGGAAAAACTTGTAGTGCCAAAGAGAGAGAGGGAATGGTGTGTTACACTACTTGATGCGTGTTGAGCTCCGTCTTACAGAGATGCCGGGAGGAGACTTCTTTATGGTTGGTATAAACTTTGAGCTTGTCATGGGAAAGCAATGAGGAAGATACCAGGTAGCTTGAATTGTGGATGTAAGTCTACAACATATCTCGTGACTTCCCTCCCCCCCCCCCCCCCTCCCACCCCCCTGCTTCTACAACGCTTTTCTCTGGCTACAGCGAAGCCGTAGGTTTGATGGTTAAACCCCCTATTCCCATTTCAGGGGTAGTGTTCAGAAGGGTTAGGGTTGTGTCATCTTGGTTTCTCTGTGTATTCCTTTCTCAATCTGACACGGTTGCCTTTAATCGCCCCTAGGTAATATGGGCAGATCTTTGGCGTGACAGGAGGCTACAGTGGCCAGAAGGAGATAAGGTGTATGTAACTATAAACTGCCGGATCTCCAACAGGCTATAGAAGTGCCAGGCTGACTGAGAGGCCGCTGGATCCAAGACCGTTTCTACCCTCTTTGGGGTTCAGCTCTGCTATTTGATGATATGTCCTGATCTTGTTAGTACCACAAAAGACACATGTTACCTAGGTCCTTTGTAAAGACACCGACGGGCCATGAAAAATATGGTTGTTATGACTCTCCGTGCACCTGTGACCATCTTGGCAGCCCTTCTCCTTCCTATCTGGTAATAAAACCTCAAGAAATCCCATTTTTGGTAAAAGGGAACGTCGTTTCAGACGTTTCAAGTTCCGTGTGTTCGGGAATCGGGAGGGACAGGATCCGAGGGCGTGTCAACCCAGGGTTGGATTGGGGGCTGGTAGATGGGTGGTGGTCAGCGAATAGAGGTCGAGAGAAGGAGGCTACATCGGTAGCTGTATTTGGCATGTCGGTACTTGGTCTGCTTCATGCGTAGCAACGGCAGCAGCACCCCGCTTGGGGAACTTGGAGAGAGGAATAAGGTTGTTCGAGAATGTTCAGCGTTGGGTGAGGCTGCTCAGCCTCTGTACTTACTGTGGCAGAGAGGTTGGACGGCGGCGGTAGTGGAGGGTGGTTGCCGTCAATGGCTTGTGACAAGGAACCGTTGTGTTGGCGAGTCTGTGCCGCCAAACGTCACCGCGGGGTCATCACTTGATGTCAGAGATGCCCGCCTCTGTGCAAAACCCGCCGGTGGAGAGGAGAGTTGGGATGAGTGGATGGATGGCTCTGGCATCTGCGCCATCATGTCTCCATCTGATTTGAAGAGACGAACGTCCACATGGGCGTCTGAGCGAGCTCGGCCTTTGCATGAACCGTCATCGATGGGAATGGTGACGCTGGAGTGGCTTTCTCAATCACCCCGCCCCATGAAGCGGATGCCCAGCCAGGGGTTCCCAAGGAACGGGAGCGGGGTAATGGCCCCTCCAGATTTCACATCCCGACCCCAACATAGCGAGGTCGGGATGGCAGGTGAAAGGTGGTTGTGGGTGAGCTGGGTAAGGTTTTGGCGATGGCATGAAGAACCATGGAACAGCTAGAGGGAGGGAGTCAGCAAATGGACAGCTAGAGCGATGCGCGCGCGTCGACAGTTGAGGAGCGAGCGCCACTGGTTCCAGACCGAGATAATTGGGGGACATTGCGCGATACAGCGATAGGTTGGACTTGGCGCATGAATTGTTCAAAGAGAAGAAGGGGCCTGCAAGAGCCAGGGGCAGGCGAGCTTCTCGAAGAGCGCATATGCAGCGCAACACGTTTACATGGCGGGATGCAGATGAGGATGAGATGACGTTGGGGGGAGGGAGTGTTGGACGTCCGAAACCAGCCAGCCCAGCCCAGCCCAGTTTCATGCCGAGACTTTTCAGAAGACAATTTACACGGCATGGTGTTGGACGACCGGAGCGTGGACTTGGGCGGCGAGGCGGAGGGTGCCACCGTTTTCCATCGGGCTGGCCATCCGTCAAAGTCAATTGGCGCTAACATGACCGAGAAAGACAACGTTGAACGAAGGTCGAGGCGCTTCTACCGCACCAATGACCCTTTGGGGGAGGACTCTGGTGCGACCGACAATGGGCCATCCGAACAGAAACTATTGTTGCTGCGTGAATGCCATGCGCGCAGGGCTGCGTCACGACACCTGCCGCCAGAGTTTTCATCTTTCGGAGGAGGCACGTGAGGCAAGGGAGAGAGTACGTACGGATAACTGAGAGTGCTCATCATGGTCATGGTGATGATGGCCACAGGGATCCAAAAGTCTGGACAAGCAATTGCGCACTGTGGATCGGTCCATGGCGGGAACCTTTTGCGGTAGCACCTAGGGCACGGGCACGGGCACAGTAGCCTGTTGCCATCGCCGATTGTTTGCCATGATAATGTTTTTGTTAAAGAAATGAATCATGTATATACGGTGGCAGACTGTACTCGACTGTAAAAAAGATAGAGCACCTTATTAGTTGGATAATTACTTATCTCACTAGATATCTATTGCCAACCTTGAATGCCGGTATGATCCGGTGGAGATGCTGCTGAGGGAACGGGATTTAGGGACCCCTGCTGCCTTTTTATTTTGGCCCGCACGCAAGCCGACTGACCGCGCAATCCTGACCTCTGCCCTGCGAGCCCCTCCCTCCCCCCAGCCTAGCTTTCCAAGCCTTCCAACATTTTCCGTGCGCTCGTCCACAGCCAGCCCAGCCCGCCCGCACTCGTCTCTGCGCCTTGGCCCCTGGCTCACCCCCTCCCAATTTCCTGCCTTGTCCTTCTCTTAAGACCTTCTCGGTGCCCATCGCATCGCATCGCCGCTCTCCACCTCACCTTCAACAGCACACCGGCGTCGACTGTGCGGCTGAACAAAGGGCAGAAACACCACAAGCACCAGTTTGGACCGAGTTCAGCACAAAGGCGGAGACCAACGTTCTCGGAGGAGTCAGCCACCGAACCCCCCGACCGACAGACAGACACGGGACAATCCATTCCATAATCCAACAATACCACGCGGTCGCCGCCAGTTGTTCCCAGTCTATCAAAGAGAAAAGAGGAGGCAATCAATCAACTCCGTTACACTGATCCAAGACCACCCGAACAACAGCATTGCGCTGGCGTAACGCAACAGCCCACGCCCACGCTCCCTATCGGCCGAATCGATTGTCCATTCCTCGCTTCTCGCCATCTATTTTTCTTCGTCGATACCAGCAGGCAGAGTCTAGTTTGAGAGAGGGGGCGCCTGACAGCACCAACCATGAAGGTACGTCATTCCACTTGTCCTGTCCTGTCCTATCCCATCCTGTCCTGTCCGTCGCTTCCCAATGAGCGGGATGCGGGCAACCACAAATCTGGCGTCAGCGCCAGCGCCAGTTGCCATCGCTGATAACCACTTGGTCTTGGCCGTTGGCATTTCATGGAACTTACCCATCACTTGGCCCATCTGTCTTGGACACCTTTCGCATGCTCCTGCTCCTGCTCGTGCTTTTGCTCTTGCTCTTGCTACCCCTCTTCTTCTTGTCACTATCCGCATTCTTAATTGCCCGCTAACCTACGATGCGCGTTTTGAAGGCTTTACGGAGGTCCATCAAGGGGGAGAAGGAGAACAAGCCACATATCAGCATTGCTCCAAAATCAGCTGTCGCCATTCAGCCTCCCAAGAAGGTGCGTCTTCTGTCTGCCTGTTCTGCTCATTCTGCACACTGCTTGGCCAAGCTGCCTGGGGTCCCCTCGGTGGGCCCCGGTGTGCTCCCCATCCGAGTCACTTGGACAACCACTGACGTCGGCGGCCTCTTCAGGTGATCCGAGCACTCTACGATTATGAAGCCTCAAATCCTCAAGAGTTGAGCTTTTCCCGCGGTGATTTCTTCCACGTTATCGGGCGCGAGAACGACCAAGATTGGTATGAGGCCTGCAACCCCGCTCTTCCGGACGCCCGCGGCCTAGTGCCCGTTGCATTCTTCCAAGCTCTTGGACGCACCGAGCGTGATAGTGGCCAGTCCCAACCCGACACGGCCCGCTCAACAAACTCGACAAAAGGCCCGGATAACGATTCCGGCTACGGAGATGCATCCACCGTCGGCACGGCGACACCCGCCGCCAGCCAGCGGAGCTCCAAAATCTCCGGAAAGTCTGGGGCTATGGTGTATGGTGTTGTCATGTACGACTTCCAGGCGGAACGCGGGGACGAGCTGGATGCCAAGGCGGGCGAAGCTATCATTGTGATTGCCCAGTCCAACCCGGAGTGGTTTGTCGCAAAGCCGATTGGGAGACTCGGTGGTCCCGGTCTGATTCCCGTCTCTTTTGTCGAGATCCGAGATATGGCGAGCAACACACCCGTGGCAAACCCTCAAGAGTCTGTTCGCAGGGCGGGCATCCCCAAGGTGGAGGAGTGGAAGAAGATGGCAGCCGACTACAAAAACTCCAGCATCACGCTTGGCAAGTTTGATGTTGGCGGCGCGCCAATTGAGCAAGGCATGGAGCGCATGAGTCTCCAGCAGCAACCGAATGGGCGAACGAGCCAAGTGCCGGCGGGTAACTATGTGAGTGACACTCGCGCCAACTATTGTTTTGATATCATCTGCTAACCGTCATGGTCGCAGCAGCAACCGCAGTCACCACCACAGCAACAGGCGCAAGTGCAATCCCAACAAGCATACAACGCGCAGCAACCAGTCCAGCAACCAGGCTACGGCGCCCGACAAAGCTCAGAAGTTGCCGCTCCGGTATCCGCTCAGATTCCCAGATACTGTTTCGCCGAGGAAAAGTACTGGTTTGTGATCGAGGCCGAGCTGGAGGATGGACGGACTTGGGAGCTTTCCCGATACTACGAAGATTTCTACGATTTTCAGATTGCGCTCTTGACCGAGTTCCCCGTAGAGGCTGGTACGACCGGAAAGAAGCAGCGCACGTTACCGTACATGCCCGGTCCCGTAAATTACGTCACCGACGCCATCACGGAAGGGAGACGCCACAACCTGGACGCCTACGTCAAGAGTTTGCTCGCACAGCCACCATACATTTCGAAATGCGACCTGGTGAAGCAGTTCTTTGCGCCGCGGGAAGGAGACTATGAGATTGATCCCACAGCGCAAGGAGAGGAATACCGGTTGTCTGGCGGATCCCAGCCATCCTCGACAGACTCGCCAGCGGATGGAGCATCGCGGCAATCATCTCGCCAAAACCTCAACTCAAACGGTAATGGGTACGCTGGCCTTTCCGCGCCGGCACGACAGATGGGAGGTGGTCAGCCAGCAGTAAGCAGACAAGTCTCCTCCCTGTCACAACCCTCACAATCATCCCTCTCACCAGGCATCCAGCAACCCGGAGCCCAAATGAAGGTCAAACTCAGCTACAACGGAGACATCATCGCCATCAAGGTGCCGCAAGATATCAACTTCCGCTCCTTGTACGACAGAATCACCGAAAGACTCAAGATCCCAGGAGGAGAGATGGTACAGCTGTCATACAAGGACGAGGCCACGGGTGACAAGCCACCGCTGATGAGCGACAATGATCTGGACATTGCTCTGAGTCGAAACGAGAAGCTGCTGCTCTATGTTGAATAGGTGGTGTAGAGCGTTTGCACGCACGCGTTTTGTTCTCTGTTTCTCTCCTGGTTTACTGGGATTTTCTCACTTGCGTTTTTACGTTGCACCAAGTATACCCAACCTCTTTTTTGTTTTGTTTTGTTTTGATGCTATTCGGACCCCGCATTGCAACCGACGACGACGAATCTACAAGAACGCGTTTATGTTTTTTTGGCCACGGGAATGGAGGAGGTGGAGAAGGCAGGCCTATTTATACCCTCCAAGAAAGAGAGACAATACCTTGGCACGTTACCGCATCAGTGCTTGATATGTTATGCCTTTTCTTTGCTTGGATGTCGGTGGAGGGGGAGAGGGATGGGAGGAAGCTGGGGCTGGAACGTGGTCACGGAGGGATGTTGACTAGGTTTTTCTTTTCTTCCCCTGTTGAGTTGCTTCAGTTGTGATGGATGGAATGAAATGAAATGTACATGTGTTTATGGCAGGCGGGGATAACAAAAATGATGAATTGTGATTTTCCTTCTCTGGCTCTTTACGTTTTTGTGTCTCCGATGGGGAACAGTATGGTCTTGAGTGGTTGGAGAGATCGGAAGGTGGTTGAGGGCAGGGGATGGTGGATGAATGCGGTGGGGCTTTGACACTTGTTTCTTGGTTGCGGAGTAGACAGATGGATTTGCTTCTTGTTGGGGGTAATTGAGAAGATGGTTTGTTTTTGATGACCGGGTTGTGTTCATTGATGCTCTTTTGTGGTATTGCGTAGAGGGAAGCTTCCTTTTGCTCCCTGTGCATCTATCCCTTTTCGCATGCACATATCCACATCCGATCAAGAAACCACAACGAAGGTGATAACCCCAGCCTTACTCCAAGAGATCCCACATCACAAAGGCCACAACCCAGAACCTCGGAGGGACGGACATATTGACCAAAAAGTTAATTTTCGAAAAAAAAGCACCGCCATATTCGTTCGCTCCTTTGCCCAGCAGATTCGTCCCAAGAAATACACACAAAAGGTTGGAAAAAAAAGACCCGCCCACAACCGAACCCAGTCCCGGCGAATTCCCCCCCCTTACCCAAACTCCGTCCAAGAATAGACACACGAGAAAAACAACACAACCTTGCCTTCCCCCAGAGAAAATGCACCTATAACACCCTCCTTGCCCTTAAGCCGTCATCTCCCGGCAGAGAAAAGCCAAAACTATAAACACAAGACATTAAAAATCAGTGGTATCAAACACCCCCTCCCTTGTCGCATCAGAAAAAAAGCACCCGCTTTTTATTTCCCGAACCCTTTCTCATACAACATCAGACGTAATCATCGCCAAAGCAGCAGCCACAAAACACCCCTCAAACAACAACATGACTGCTCATATGCTCCACCGCCTCCTTGATCGTCCTCAGCATCCTCTTGTTCAGACAAAACGGACACCTGACCGGGTTCTCCACCACCGACACCGGCGCCCCGCTAGGGATCGGTGTGAGCGTCAGTTCTTCCCCTTGCTGTGCACCACCACCAGCGTTCCCACCGCCATTAGCAGTCTGAGGTTGTTGCGGTGTCTGCTGCTGCGGTTGGACTTGCTGCGGTTGGACTTGCTGCGGTTGGACTTGCTGCGGTTGGACTTGCTGCGGTTGGACTTGCTGCGGTGTATTCGGCGCAAACTGCGGTTGCGCCGGAGGAGCCTGTTGCGGTTGTGCCCTCGGTCCGACGCTCGCGTTGCGAGTCCCCGGGTTGGGGGTCGTCAAGCCAGCTGCGTTCATGGCGTGCTGGGCGTAGGCTTGGTTGGCTATCGCGCCTAGGGCAGGTAAGCCGTTGTCAACGGTGCGATCGCCGCCGCTTTGGGGTTGTTGATGGTCAGGGGTGACTCCGGCGAGGTTGGCGGCGCCGCTGACGTTGTTCTCCTCCTGTTGCTGATAGACACGGAGTGCATTCTGAAGCACGACTTCTGGGTCTTCTTCTGAGTGGAAAATTCCCGTATTTTCTGCATTGCCACCCATGGGATTGTTGTTTGGTGTTCCCGGCCCGCCGTCGGGGGAAGGGTTGTGTTGACGGCGGAGGACCTCCTCTTTGACGCGCTCGCATACTTCCAGAGTGGTCATTACGCCGAGGAAACGTTGGAGGTATTCCATAACCGTTACTGGGGGAAGGTCGGCGTTCACGTTGAGGTAACGAGGAAGGTTCTCGGCGAGGTAGGGGATGTCGTCGCCGAGGTTTTGGAGGGTTGTGGTCCCGGGGGCTGGATTGCCGCCTTCGCTGCTAGTTGGGCGACGCTGGCGTCTAACTAGGAGGCCGTAACGTTTCTTGAAGCGGTGGATCCATCCGGGGGAGAACTCGGGCGCGGGTTCGTCCTTGTATCGGGGGAGCTGATGGTAGATTGTCTTGGCTTTGTCGGCGAGCTCTTCGTTGGAGGGCTGGCGGCCATTGGCGAGCATTTGCTGGTGCCAGAGGAGAACAAGTTTCTCGACGTCGGGCCAGTTGCCAAAGCGCAGACGGGAACCCGAGAGCTGGGGGTCGCCGTCGAGACGGGCATACTTGGGGGAGAGGGAGTGTGAGACGGTAGACTGAGAGATGGTTTGCTGGTACTGGCTGGCAAACCAGTCAATGCAGGCCTTATGGCTGGGGCGGACAGGCTGCGAGTTGGCCCATCGGCGGAGGGCGCGTCGCTGGTCGAGGGTGAGGGAGTGGCGCTCTCGCGTGGCCGAGCCGGGAGTTGACCCGATCTGGTCCATGGACTCGAGGGGCACGTCAGGCTTCATGGCCGACATGGTGCTCGCTCCTCTGAATGGGAGCTGGTAAAAAGGCGATAAACGCCCTTTTGTCGGCGCAATGGAGCGCGGGGGGTTATATATGCAATGGCGGGCGAGACGAAGCTCTCGAATGCTTGGCTAGCCCCGATGCGAAATCGCTATCTGTGTGTATGGCGATTCGAGACAATTGAATATGCGGCGATGGCTGGTCTGGTGATCGTTGTAATGAGGTGTTGTGGAGGGCAAAAAAGTCGGCAAAGCGGGGAGCTACACGTGCACCACAACAATTGAGTTCGGTTAGTCAGCTGCCAGTGTGACTGACAGTTGTGGCACAACATCTGATTGGATGGCGCAGAAGGACGCATCGCCAACTTGCATGAGGCCACCACTTGCATCCACGACATTGCAAGCAATGAAGTTCTCATCATTACGCACGAAGCAGAATTCATCATGTTGGCTTCTAAGGTCTGTCCTCATGTAAATAGCAAGGCGGCCGAGTATCTATCGTCATTGCTTTCAAGAATGTAGTCATATGGCCCCTTTGAATCCTCTCATTCCCACCTCGTTTTCGTGATTGCATAAGCCACCAGGTAGGTAGACACCCCGTCTTTCCGGTAACCAGAACCACTGTCTGCGCAAGAGCTTCAATATGTGCATTGCTAGACTAACACTCTTCCATACTGGTGTCCATCGCGATTCTGCAAGGGGATAAGAACCTGTTCGGCATCACTCCACGTTTCTGTTGTGATTGCACCAACTAGCCGACAGTTGTTTGTTTTGAAGTTTGTAGTGCAGCACGTCGATCTTCGACCCTAGCCAAGTCCGTGCCTCCTCCGCATATCTCCACTTTGCCCAACGACATCCGTACTCTAATGATCGCCGGTCCCGGTCCCGGTCCCATAGCGGGACTCCCGTCTCACAGATCAAACACAAGCAATCGCTTCGGGCCAAAGCTACAATACAACCATTTGTCATCGACTTCTCAACGCCATGCTATCGACTAAGGTATCGTCGCATCCCTGTTACTAACTAAAAAAGTCCCTCAAGAAGTCTTCTTCTCTGGCGTAGGACTCCTGCCCCGAGCCTCATAGTGTTCCATCTTCACTGCCTGCTCATCTTCAAACTCACGCTCCTGTGCCTCCTTCATCTCTCTCGATCTGGTGGAGATCGTTTGCATCTGCATCGATGTTAGCTTGCTGTCCAAACTTCACACGATGCACAAATAGAAATGTCACCGAACTTACCCCTTGGCGGATGCGCATGTCAGCAGACACGTCTATCAACAGCTCTCTCATTGCTTTGTTCTCAAACTCGAGAACCTTCAATCTATTCTCAAGAAACTGGAACTGTGTCTTTACATGTCCCCAAATATTATCAGAATCCTCGGTGGTCGACTGCTCCAACATTTGCAAGCCTTGATCAACCAAGATGACACCAGCATTGGCAACCAGTGAACCCATGCGAGGATCTTTCTGACATGTGCCAGAGTCACGACACAACTCAGTCGCAGTCATGCCCTCCTTGTTGACGGTCCACAGGATATCGCGCACCAGCTCCTCAGGCTCGGTCTTCAAAACAGTGTCCAACTCCTCGATCTGATCGATGAACTTAGCACATGGGAAAACGGGCAAGGTCAAGGAAAAATGAAGGCAAAGACTTGCAGAGGTGTGCCCGGTGAGGCTGAGACCGCTCACCAAGGCAGCGGCAGAGTCGGCGACATCTTAATCAACAGCCTAAAGCCCGCCAGTAAAGTGCACAAAGACAAAAGCTGGTAAGTCCCATCACAGATTGCCACCCTCGCCCAATCAGTGCTTCACTCTGGACACCTGAATCCTGCCCCGTCCAAGAGCACAGACCCTGAACGTTCTGGTTAGTCACTCCCCCACATGCTTCAAGAAGCTCGGGGGATAAGGAGACCATTGATGGTATCAGCATCGGCGAATAGCCGGGCCAGCGTACACACCCCACTACCGTATGCCGGGGTTGAGCCAGAGTCACCTCGGAACTTGTTGATGAGGTTGGCCCCAACAACACCATTCAAGAACTGCAAGCCACGCCAATTGCGGGAGAGTGAAACCACCAAGGCGAAAAGTCCCTGGCAGTTCGGTAGACCCTCAAAGAGATGATGCCCCTCGCAAAATAGCTGAGATCGAAGGCTTGAGGAGAATGTGAAGAAGTGATGTTCCACAAGAGGCTGGTTGGGCAAAGGACTGGGAAGGATGGCAAAGAAGATGTCGGGCGAAGAACTTACCATTTGGTCTTGGTCGAATGAGGCCATCGTCAGAGTCGCTCAAAGGGCGAAAGTGCTTGGGACGAGAGGAAGGCGAAGGTGATGATGATGGTGAAATGGTGGTGACTGAGAAGGATGGCGACGGGAGGCAGTGGTGGCAGGTCGTGGCCAACAGGGCGAGCAATTGTAAAATTTATTGGAAGTGGAAAGAATTGAAAGGGAAAAGAATTGAAAGGGAAAAGAATTGAAAGAGGAAATTTTTGCAAGAGAGAATTGAGGGGGAGATTGTGGGAGGGAGGAGTTGAATATATAGCCGGTGGTCATGGGTCTTTGCGTGCCTGCAAATTCCGGGAGCAGTTGTAAATAGTCTGTGCGTGGCCTATAGAATCTCAAGGACAATACCGTCGTCATCTTTGATGCCTTATTGCTCTTTCTGTTGTGGTCTTCTTTCAGTGCCTGCCGGTGTGGGAGCAACCTTGATGGCTGAGGATCAGACGACAATGGGATAAGTGGGCCCAACAGACGGCGTGGAATCTCCTGGATGCTGCTGTCATCAGCTCTGGGGCTAGATAGATATCCATGTTAAGTGGCAGTTTTGTATATCACTCAAGATCCAACAAGGCCAGTGCGATGTTCTAGTTCCAAGATTCTGGTCTAAGGGGGCTTTAACTCTGCTCTACTATCTCCTTCTAAACATCTCATCCTCCAGCTCATATTTAAAGTACCGTAGATGCTTAAAGAAAGTCTATATCTATTTCCCTACGATATCGGAGTGGAAAGATTATCCGAAGGCTTGCAACCCAGTGAGCTGAGACAAGTTGTGATGACTTCAAGACAAGTCAAAGCACTGGGTTGTCTATTCTCTCCTCAAATTTCAACCAACGTCCCCAGAAGCTCCATCTCAACATACATCCCCCTAAGTAGCAATCAAGATTGAAAGCGAAATCACAGTTTTCCCATCTTGGAACCTATCTAAATCTTACCCCAGAACTTTACAAAAACTTCTCCCAGATTCATCCCAGAGTTCGCCCCCCAGCAATATTAGCAGCATGCACAAAGAAAACCAAACCTATTCCATCATTAAACAAAACCACCAAAAGAACGCCACCCCCCCCCCAACCCAGTCCAGGTTTCCATCCTGATTACTACTACTATGAGAGTAAACCACCATTTAACACCACCTCCACAATTTGGGCATCCTCACCCCCTCAAGTCCACAATCCCAGCCTTGTTCCCCTTCGGGCGCCAGCGAGCCTCCCCATCACAGAAGTCAGAAGCTGAGCAGCCGGTCACGGCTAACGAAGAGCATACCGTCTGGTACCACTCGATCCCTGCATCTCTGTCCTCCACATCACTTTTCAACCAAGCAATGGCAGACTTGTTTTGAGCAGACTTGCTCCGAACAGTCTTGGGCTGAACAGTTTTGGCCTGCCGAGATGGGCAGAGTATCACCTGTTCGCGCTGCTGGATGTTGGGGGTTGGAATGCTGAGAAGGAGATGCCCGTCTGCGCCGGACAGTTACGGAGGGGCTGCTTAGAAAGGCAGCGACAGAATGCGTCCAAACCCACGACCAACAGCAGCGTGAGCAGTTGCCGATACTGTCATCCAAGCATATGGGAAATGAAAACAGCGGATTGAGACTTCGTTTCCAAGACAAGAAAGAGGAAAAGAAGTGCCAGCAACAATAGATCGACACAAAAGAGATAAGTGCGAGAACATCACAACCTGGAACAAATGGTCAAAGTACAATTGTGTTCAGGATGGATGGTAGGCTAGAAATATATAAAGTCAGGAGACAATCGATTTGATATAAACACCGTTCGCAGTGAAGATGCAAGAGTGGCAAAGATAAACACAGCACTGGGAAGACATCCGGAGAAATAGTAATGGCCTTTAGACACAACAAATAGGCCTCCGCAGATAGGCAATGCCCCTTGAGAGATAACCTCTCGGCCTTTCCAGGTCGTCCAAGGGGTTCCGAAAAAGTATTTGCGGCCTCTGAAAATGTTGAAAAGGCCTTGTAATATAGTTCAAAGCCCCAAAATGATTACCAAAGACGTCTTGCGAGATAGCCTTGAGGCATAATTATATTTTTCAAAGCCCTTCAACCTTATGCCAGTCTTTATTCTCCCACCTCGGCAACCTCCTCTCCAACCCCCCAACCAACACTACAACCACAATCCAGACATAACCTCTTCACCACCCGGTCCAACTCCCGCACATTCTCCAGCTCTATATCAGCTACCTTCTCGCGCTGGCGGGAGTGAAAAATTTTAGAGGAGGTAGGCTGGTCGGGAACAAAGACCT